GGAAGGCTGCAATTATTTTCTTTCATTACAACTTAAGTGTAACTCAATTTTATCCATCTATCATCTTTATAGTAGCAATAAGCAACATCACTGAATGCTTGTTTCTCTGCCTGTGCCTAATATTCCTTGTTTGCATCTTGTTTTGATTTTTTTGGTCTTATTGAAAATTTGTTCTAACTGCTTTCCTTTCTCCCCGTGTCCGCTTTGAGTGGTGATCCTTTAACTTTGGCACTCTGGGATGGAGATGGAAAATTACTACCTTTAGTTTCCTTTGTTTTGGGAAGCAGTTGGCTACTCTTTGAATCGAAGTACAGTGACATTTGAGAAACAAGGAAGCTCATTAAAAACAACCTACAAGGCTGGCTTTTTCTGTGGCTGTATTGTCTAATTCTTAATGCAAAGTTTCACTCTAAAGTAACAGAAGCAGGGCATCTTGCTGTGTCAAGCTAGTTTAAAATTAAAGTCAGAGAATGAAGAAGTAGACTTTTTTTCTTGAGTGTAATGCAACTTGATTTAGCTGTTGTCTCCCTCAGTGTCAGCCCACTGAGACATTAACTAATTAAGCCTTGTGGAGTCTGGTCATTCACAACATATAGAGAGGGAGGTGAAAGACTCTCATGAGAAATAGAACCACAATATGCCTTTTTTTTTGAGACAAACTGATCATTTAAATTTGCCTCTCCTTATATAAGCAATCCTTGTTGTAATAGCTGTCATTTAATTTACCATGAGTATAGTATCATATTTTGGGTACTGTTTTGGGTATTCCTATACTAGTCCACATGATAGGTTCGTCTTGAGGCCAGACCGCCTGGAGAATATAAAGCTCTCAAGGTCAGCAGGTAGAAGACCATGGGGTACAGGCCTCAACCCAGATCCTGGGCTCCAGGCTCTTCTCATTAGGCTACACTGATTCCCAAGGCGCTACTTTCAGAGTCTTCCTATTGTGAAAGGTGCATTATAGAATCCTCGCACAGTTTACGAAGATTGTGAAGTAGCTTGTGCTACCCGCATGTTGCAGATGAAACCCAGTTTGCAAGAAGTTAAGCAGCAGGTAGAGGTCACGCAGCAAACATATTGTAATCCAGGTCTTTCACGCAGGAGTGACTGGTCCCTAATGGTCCCTGGTCACTGTTTTCCCTTCAGCTGATCCACTATTCATCATCATGATAACCAAGATGCCCCAAGTCTACCAACCACACTCAGGACAGGCTCCCACGCCCAGTTAAGGTTGGCCAACACAAAACAGACTCCATAGTTGGTGCGTGTGTGGTGTGTGTGTGTGTGTGTGTGTGTGTGTGTGTGTGATTTTTGCTTGGTTCTGATTATTCTGTCTTTTCTTTCCATTTTTTCATTTCTTGAGGAGGAGAGAGGTGGAGACAGAAAACATATAGTTGGATGGTTAGGGAGGTTAGAAGGAGCTGGGAGAGGGAAAAGAATATGATCAAAATATACTGTAAGTATGAGAAACAATTTCAATAAAAAACTCAAAAAGATGACCAAGATGCTGGGGTAATACAAGCTTACTTTTTCAAATGTTTACACAATAGACTAAAACTTTGGTGATGGACTCTAAGGAAAAGAGTGTACTTGTGTGTTAACAGTATTTTACATAAAGGTCCTTCCCTAGTTCAATGTCCCCTAAAAATCTTTTCTAAAATATAATATTTCAAGTCTCCAAATAATGTATGTAACATATGCACAGAATAAGATTGCTACTGATTATGAGATTTTAAAAAATTATTCTATTCAATACAGATTCACATTTGCAGGAATTGTCTGAGTGTGTTCTTCAACTACATTTTTTTTCTGTGCTTTCAAGTTAATACATTTCTTATGCATGATTGGTGAAGATTCTAGTAATTTCAAGTAAATAGATTTATAATTCTGTTTATCTTCAAATATAAGGAAGTGGGTTTTTTTCCCCACTAAGGTTGAGTTATTACAAAGTTTCTATATTATAGGGGCATTTTCTCAATGATTTTATTTTGCACATTACTAGATTTCTAACAGAATATGCACTAGCCTAGAACAACATGGAGTGATACTAATTTGAGAAGCTTATAAAGGTTCCCCAATGAATGGGTTAAGAAAAAAAGTCAGGAGAGATATAAAAAATGAACTTGAAATTACTGTGGATATGCAAACTAATAGAATTCAAAGTGAGATGTGATTTTAAATAAGCCCTTGAAGAGTTACATTCAAACTCAACAGAAAAAAAAAACATGTGCATTATGAAAATCAAGACTATATTCTTATAGAAGGTTTGTTGTAACCAACAGCACTGGATGGGCACTGGTGACTCAGGATAAGCTCCCAGAAACTGTGTTGTATGTAGAGACAAGCTTTGAAACACAATGAAGACGTGGGGGAAAATGATGTGCTCTCATAACCATTAGATGACCAAAGGGTGCTTTCCTGTTGCAGATGTGAGCAGATGCCTGTAAAGACTGTGGCTGGACTCATTCATGTTATGAGAGGGAGAGAAAACGACATAACTTGACCATCAATAAGTAAGTTAGGCCTGCAACACCTGCTGGATCTCTGAACAGAAAATGGTCTTTCCTGGCATCCGCATGCTTGATCCTGCAGTAAGAATACATTTTGTATATGGCAGGTATATGGAAGGGCAAAGAGACCCTCTGATGGATCTTCTCACATACACCGAAGACTTGGCAGGAGCCTACGTAGAAAGGTACGGAAATATCCTTTAACTTGTCAAGTCTGTCCATACATATATTAGAGATATTAATAGCCAAACTACCCAATGTGTATCCAGTCAAGAAATTTCATGCTAAAAAATAAAGACTCGATTCCAAGATATTATTAGAAGGTCACCTGATATCTGGCCAAGTTAATCAGCCAAGACAAAATGGAGTCATCTTATTATTTAGAGCCTGCCTAACTGGCCCAGTCTGGTAAATCATTTTGTTCTTGCTGCCATCATTTCAGGACAAAGCTGGGAAATGACTATATGCTGATTATTGGAACACATTCTGTGGGCCAGGTATCTGAAAACAAATGCATACAGTCTCGATTTCAGAAGAAGGCCAGCCATTAGTAAGTGGAGAAGATAAACAGGCAAATAAAGAGAGGGGGTTTGCAGGTATTTGTGTTTATGGAATCTGGCCAGCACGAAACTTGGCTTCCCTTGCAAGAAGACGGCTGGCAAGTTACATCTTGTTTCCCACAAGAATTTTTTGAGATGGTAGTGATAATGGTTTCAGGTGTGGCGTTTGGGGCATTTTTCCTGCGTGATAAAACTGGCCTGCATTTTACTGGATAATCCTGACTCTTTGTTCCCTCTGGAACACTGAAAAATGTCAAAGCGGGTAAGATAAAGTTCAGAAGGCTTTGAGACTTTCTAAAATGAGTAAGAACGTTTGCAACTGGGAGGCTGAAATGGACAAAATAAAACAATGTGATAAGATACCCGTATGCCTCTGCAAAGTCAAGGGTCCTTTTAACTTTTAGCAGGATGAAATCCAAGCACCAAGGGTCCTGGAAGCCCTCGGGATCTCCTGATAGGTTCTTTAAATTTGTGTTGCTCAACTAGCTTGCTGAGTATGGGGAAAGTTGTTTGCTCTAAGAACCTATGAATTTCACACTTGTATTTTTGAATTCCAGGTTTCCGAAAGCCCTTCGGCTTTCTTCCATTCTTTTGTTGCATTTTCCATTGAAGAAAAGGGCAGCCTGATGAAGAATTCATTCCACCGTGTCTTACAGAGTTTACAATGCATATTAAACGTGTAAGGGGGCATTAAGTCTTACCTGGGGCTGGCATGTACATGCTGTGTGTATTATTAGACTACAGAGGGGAAAGGAGGGAAGTTTTGTCTTTGTTTCATCAAAGAATGTATTTTCTGAGCTTCATGAGATAGTTAGGTAATTTTCCATGTGGGCGAGTATCCCAGGCTCATTAAGAGCCAGCACATGTTCCTGAATTCATACACCCTGGGTACGCTCAGCAGAATTACATGCTTTCTCTTATCAAGTACATACTGAATGCTATTCCTGGTTGCCGTTTTTATTTTGTAGACTGAAAACTGCTCAGGCAAGACACACATTTACAAAGCCCAAGTGTCTTCAGATAGGCTTCAAAGTGCCAATCTGTTCAGTTATGGTCACCGAGGGTCCTAGCGTAGGAGGCACAGTCATGCTATATATGCAGATCTAGGCTTAAACCAATACCCTCCAAGGCCACAATGGAATCCATAGGTTGGTGTTCTTCCTCAGTCACTAAGTGACCAAATAAATACCCCCCCTAAAAAAAAAACCCACTCTACTTACAGAAGGGGAATTCTCCTTTATTTAAATAAAAACACCAATAATTTCCCCATGCTTTTCTGTAAAAATACCATTTTAAATGATCATCAATCCCAAACAAACAGTGTTGTGGAGGAATGAAAATCTAAGTTTTAAAGTTATTTTTTCTTTTAGTTATACCATCTCCCCATGTATACTTGCATGTGTGCGCACCCACCCAGTTGGGTGCATTGTGTGTGTGTGTGGGGGGCACATGGAGGCGCAGTGAACCTTGGGTATCACCCGTCAAGCCCTGTTTGTTTTTACTCATTTTTCAGAGCGAAGTTTTTTTCTCATTCGCCTGGCGAGTGTCAGCTGGCTGACCAGAAATACAAGGTATTTCTCTTGTTAGGGCTTCTATTACAAGCTTACGCTGCCATACCTGAGTTTTTTTTTTTTTTCCCTGCCCACGGGTTCTTGTAATGCAACTAACCCCCACCCCCACCCCCATGCTTACACAATAAACATTTTACTGGCTGAGCTACCTCCTCAGCCCCACATTAATTTCCTAAGATAACGGTTTAGTCACTAATGAAGACCACTTTCTTAATTTGCTTACAAGGAATTTGTAAATATTTTGAACACAAATCATTCACCAACCACAAAACAGCCTCGATTTCCTCTTGTTTTGTTTTAGACTGGCACTTACTCTGCTTCACACCTAAATTTAAGCGTGAAAGCCTTGCATGACTTACCCTGTTGAAACAGTGCTCGTGGTTGGGTCCATAAAAATGCTGGAGGCACCTCACGTTGTTTTTGTTGACGATCTTGTTGAAGAATTCGTTGACGTATTTGATGGGGAAGGCGCAGACCGCGGAGCGGTTCACGGGCTCGGCAGAATCGGGCCTGCTCTGCGCGAACACCCCGTAGAGAATGTCATCGTTGGGGCTGGCTCCTATCTGCTTAGCGAGGCTGGCCCCCGGCTTACTGACGTAGGCGGCTTGGAGGATATTAAACACTTCCTCCCGGGTGGACCTCTTCCTTCTCTTCTCCGTCAGAATGCACTCCAGGGGCATCTCCATGTAGGAGTGCAGCCCGGAGTCTGCGGCACAGAACCTGATGATCCTCGTATGGAAAGTCTCAGCGTCCAGGGTTTCCTTTTGGACGGTCAGGAAGTAAATAAAATGGTTGCTCTCAAAGGCGTGGATGTACTTGATGGGGTAGGAATCTCGGAACTCGGGTAAGACGTCAATATAGGACTGGTCTGTCAAGAACTTAAAGCCGTCCTGGGTCTCCTTCAGCCGCCTCACCGAGATGGAATGCAGCGAGCCGTCAGGGAGGTAGGAGGAATTGACCGTGTTCCCCACGAAGAAATTGATGAACCGGTTCTTTTCCGACAGAAGGACTTTGGCGCCCAGGGCACTCACTACGCAGTCAGGACACTGGCCCGACTCCTCATCCACGCGTGGAGAGAACATGCAGTGAACCTCGGACCGTATGTCGGCAGCATTGCCGGGCGGAAGGACGTGGCGCTGGCACGTCCCTCTGTGGACGCTGCCACAGCTGATGAGCTGATCGTCGTAGTACGTGTCGAGAAGAAGGGCCATGTTGATGTTGTCTTTCCAAACGCCTCCTGATGCGTTGGCTTTGCTGCCGCAGTCCTGACAAGGAAAACAATCTGGGTGTTCCAACACGGGCCCGGTCCTGTACTCAGCCACCTTCCGAAGGTCTTTGTCATTCAAAACATAAATGTAGTTCGTGGCTCCCAGGTAGATATGATGCCCGTGCAGAACGATGTTCTGGATGGGAGTTTCTGCGGTGAAGTTGGGAAGCTGGTACTTGACGTTCGTGTTCGTCTCCGACTTCACTAGGGCCTCCTTGCACTCCCCGCGGCTCCTCTGCACCAAGGTCAAAAGCAGCACCAGGATGCCAGGTGCCAGCACCGTGGGAGCCTTCATTGTGAGAAGCCGATCTGCCAAGACACAGTCAGGCGAGAGCAGTTCAGTCGTCATGAGAAACAAAGAAGAAAAATGGACGCACTGCTCCGGCTTCGCTATCAGAAACAACATTTCCTAACTGGAGTTTTTATATGGAATGAAAACAAAAACCAGTAGCTGGCTTCACATAAAGATGCATTGTAGGGCTGGACAGGACTCCTCACAGTTTAATTTTAGAAGTCAAGCCATGAACAAGTAATTTTCAAGGACCATTATATGATGCAAACAATGTTCTGGGTTGAGGCCATGCAGCAACCGAGAAGCATTCAGCAGCTCAATAAGAAACATAGCACATTCTTTCTTAACCCCTTGCTGGTTGCTTAATGTGGTTTCATATCTGTGTCTAATGACTAGGTTGGTACTTAAACTTTCTTGGTTAGTCAAGTAAAGGAACTGTGGCTCAGATTCATTTATTCTAGAAATCACAGCAGGCATTGTTTCCTTGGGAGCATGTAGAATTACTAGGCTAAATTTAGCTTCCTTTTGGAAGAAAACAATCATAAATCCTAGAAGCAAGTGATCACATGCTGTTTATAGGATTTTGTGTGCAGGGAAAAGGTATGGTTATAATTTGGCTATACTGAACCTATTGTTTCTGACTGACAAATGCTTAATGCAAAATCACTAGGACTTCAAAACAAACAGCAGAATGAAATGTGTAAAGTAAAATTTAATCTTCAGAACTAATGTTTTGCAACTATTTCTCAGGGGGAAAAGAACATATTGTTTATTATCAAGCCAAAAAGCTTTTTAGTAAAAATAATATTATTTTAGCACTCCATAATATGCATTTGGACCAGTGTTTCTCCCAGGAAGTATGACTGGTTTGTTCTTCAGATTATAAAAGTATAAGGGGCACAACTTAAAAACATGTGAATTCCCTTGATAATAGCTATGGTCAGGGGTTGGGTATTGTTTTGGTGAAGAGCAGCTTTCGAATGAAAGAAACTATATACCGACATGTGTATTCTGACCAGATGGAAGGATGCTTAAAACCATATTTGGTATTACAGCAATGGTAAAGACTAACCTTGGATCTATGAAACCACACCCAAACTCACCAAGCAACTAATACGTGCATAACTCTGCTTACACTATGGAAATGGGAGATGGTTCCTGCCTTTCAGTGAACCTAAAAAAAAAGAATGGTTAGTAAGTAACATACACTGATGACTCTACTTCCTGGCATTATAACACCCCTTATGGCACAAACTCCAGACTCCAACCATCAAGAGAGGGAGAGATGGCCCAGGTATGAGATTACAGTATGAGAAATAGGTATACATTCATTATGTTATGGGGTCCAGAAGAAGAAGGACAGCATCTGTCTGACTCATTACTGTGTTCCCGTAATTTGGTACAGAGGAGCCCGGAACACAGCTGGCATTAAACTAATAGATACTGTGTAAACAAAAGATAAGCAGTAGGTTCAAAAACAATAACTTGAGTCTATACTGTCTGACTTTGGCTGTATTTAATTTCTAAAAATTGGGAGCTTTAAAGAGATGGTTGGCCAGAAACTATAATGTCCTAGAATGAAGTGAAGAAGGGCCAGGACCAATATGGTGGCCCCAAGAACAGAAAGTGGCAGTGTGTGGCACTGTTTAGCAAGTAAGCAGGAGTTGATACCTAGGTGGACAGAATAAAGGGAAGGTAAAGATGACCAGGAGTCACCTGGGCAGAAGTAGAATGAGTGACAACAGCATGGCAGGTAGCAAGAGGAAGTTGGCTAAAAGGTATGGGTTTTAAGCGTGCTGAGTTTAGTAATGTAATGGGAACAGAGTAAGGTGTACCATAGGAAAGACCAGAAGAATTCACACTGTTTATCAAGAACCAGGTGCTTTGAATACCTGGTGAGCAGAACTTCTGAGCAGATGGAACATCTATGCCAAGAAACAGCAGAACACTGAAAGGCTTTTGAAGAGAGTTGCCGCTATGGATGAGAGACGTGACTGGCACAGGTGACATCTGCTTTAAGTGACCCGGTGACAAGTGGGACGGTGAAGGAATAAAAAGTCAAAACTCGGTGTGCTTGGTACTTCACTTAGAAAAACAGAAACAAACTGTAGGTATACGCATTTAAGTGATGACTAAAACCTAGGCTGGCATGCTTGTCACGGTGGCAGGAGATGAAAAAGGAGATGGCCAATGAATTAAATCTGGGTGAATACCTACAATAAGAGAACTAAGTGAAGAGCCAAGAAGGCTAAGGTCACGGAAAAACATTAAGTATTATAGAAGCCAGGCCTGGATCTCAAGAAAAGAACTATTTGTTGACCTCAAAGAATAACTTCAATAAATTTAACAGTAGATTTCAATAGACTGGTAAGGAGCAAGGGGATGTGTGTTTTGAGGAGGTAGGGTTGTTCGTCCAAGGAAGAACAAGCAGAAGGCAACAGCAGTTGCTTGGAGTTTATTATTAAAGCATAGAAAAGATGTATGCTTATTTGCAAGACTTTTCCTAAAAATGTTGATTTGGTGCCTACAAAACACAGGGAACTTCTCTGGAAAGTTCATGGTCCCTTGGTAGAGGCAATGAGTTAACAGAAAGCTGTGTGAGTAGAAAAGAAACCAGACTGTAAACGAGGCTGAAACTCAGTCTTCAAGGAGGACAGTGGATGAGGATTCCTCAGGTACAGCAGTTTTGTGCAAAGCCGAGAAATGAGGAGAGCACACAGCAGGGGCAGGACAGTGGCAAGCAGTAGAGTCTGAGGGGTGGGGTGACAGGCACAAGTTAGAGAAAAAGCTGATGATGCAATGTTCCAAACAAGTTCATTTCGAAGATTCCCAAACATAAGAGGGGCCAGGACCTCTGATGCTGCCAGAAAGGAGAAGTCACACGACAAAACAGCAACAGTGAGGAGTTCAAAACATAACAGCACCATGGTCTAAACGTAAATCAGAGCGCATGAAAACGCATTTCAAGTCATGGTTATAGAGGAGGGACTAGGAGTTTAGCTGGAATGAAGAGGTTCAAAATAACCAATGCAGAGCCTGCAAACTGAGATCAGCAGGAAATTAATGAAAGAACAGCTCTAAGAGTTCCTTTAAGGTAAGATACAATCAACACGCCATGATGACTTCACAGTCACAGAAGAGAAGGAACCTACTGTAGACAGTTGAGGACACAGTGGTCTTCAGGGTCCACGTGGAGGTTTCTGGTTGAGGATACAGGCTTTGAGGTGCCACTAAGCCAGAAAACCAGTTATACCACAGAGACAAGGGAAGCTTCAATAATATAAATTGTTAGAGTGGGATAAGGGAAATTATAAAAAAATAACAATAATGTTTGTCACGTGCTTACCACATGCCAGGCGTCCCACTAAACCGTCTGATTTCTCTCCACAAATATCCTGTGAAGAAGGAAGTGTGATTGTCATCCTCTTCTGGATGAGCATGCTTGACAGAAGTCACCCAGGGTGAACCACGCCTAACAGACCATGGCCCACACTCAGCTGCTTCACTAGCACTGGCAGAGATCACAGCCTGCTCGGCTGTTTCTCCATCAGACCTCTGATCCCAGCCCTTCCCTGTGTAGCTAAGCGACTTAAGGCCATTCACCCATCTCTGTGCCCACAGTCCAAAACTCATGTGATTGTTCTTAAGCATAAAAAAAGAGAGGATACTTTGAAGATATATGACCATTTTAGAGTAATATATAAAGACTGGGAATTGAACTTGCTATTTTTTGGTATACTTCTCATTGTTCTGAAGTATAATAGAATATTTTTTATGTCAATGAGGAAAACGAAGCAATGAAAAAAAAAGATTGGGGACAAATAGTCTTATCAGTCCAGAGTACAGTATATGAAAAATTAAATGTTTCTTTTATTATAATTTTCTTCTATTATTATTATTATCATAATTTATTTACTTTGTATACCAGTTGTAGCCCCCTCCCTCATCTCCTCCCAGCCCCACTCTCCCTCCCTCTTCCTTTCTTATCCCTCTCCTCTAGTCCACTGATAGGGGAGGTCCTCCTCCCCTACTATCTGACCTTAGCCTATCAGGTCCCATCAGGACTGCCTGGATCCTCTTCCTCTGTGGGCTGACTTGGTCACCCCACCAGGGAGAAGTGATCCAGGAGCAGGCAACGGAGCTCATGTCAGAGACTGTCTCTTCTCCTCTTACTAGGGAAACTATATGGAGACTGAGCTGTGTATGAGCTCCATGTTAAATGTTTTTCTTAACATGACATGTATCAGTACATTTTCCGAGAATGGGAACACTGTTTCTATATTTTCTTAAAAATATGATATGAAGGAAATAAATGAATGCTTATTTCCAAAAGGAAGGCCACACATTTGCACCCAAGTTGATACCCAATAAGGCAGTATTGAGTGTTCACGTCTTTTTGTTTTTCGCTTGTGAAAGAAACTTCAAAATTACCTTTATTTTATTTTTACAGTCTGAGGGATTACATAATGGTTTAAAAATAAGGACCATGTTCGAAGGTTTATGTGTATGTCACTCACTATACTAATTGTTAACCAGCTAGAATTCTACAAATGTACAAATGAGCTTTTTGTTACCTCATTTGATGGGGCAGCAAATGAAAAGTAAACCAGCAGGAAAGAAGGATGTATGTAATCATTTGATACATGACATTTTCTTGACCGTTCCAGTTAATTAAGAGTACAAAGGCCTATGTTGCTGAGACCAGTGTGCCAACTCCAGACTCTGGTGCCAAGTACGCAAACACATTCCTTGGTCAGGTGCATCGTGGGACCCACCTCATTTCTGAGAGCAGCTCTAGGAGTTCATTGATGAGAGCATGCTAGCGAGTAGGCACAGTGCCTGGCCCGTGGTAGGTCAACGAGTGTTCTCCATTGTCACTGTTTGTTCATACCCTCAGAAAACAGATGGGAATCCCTAATGTTCCAGATACCAAGAAGAGGGCTGAAGAGTCAAAGATGATTAAATTACTTTCCAACTGCCACTGAGAACACAGACTAACAGGAAAGAGAGACAATCACCCCACCATTTAAAATCAAGGCAAGAAGCTCAAAGAAGGGAAATGTAGCCAGGCGAAGGAGTTAAGTGGACTTGGCAACCACTTACAATCTTTCTCTCATTGTACGCTCATGATCTCGCAGAACCTAGCTTCAGTTGTGTGTGGCAATGAACCTAAGTTGTACAACCCAAAGCAAGTCACTTAAATTCCCAGGCCTCAGCTACGTTCTAGTTTGCCAAGTGATTTGTGAACTATTCGTAAGTCCTCTGGTACCAGCTTAGGACACCTATTTCGTGCTTCTCTTCCTAACATTTCAGTGACTTTATCTTGACAACCAAACATTAGCACAACGGGAGGGTTACATCACAGGAGTTGGCAAATACTGCAAATTAGAGCTTTGTCCTCCCATACGGCCATGGTTATTGAATATTTATTGACATCCACCAAAAAAACCAATGAGCTCCATAGTATGCACCTGTAACAAGTCTGATCCCTGGGACTATTTTTCTATAATTACCTGTCATTCCAGTGTCATCAACTTGAATGTAATACCCTTGCTTCCCCAGCTCTATCCTAGAAAGTTTAATGTTTATAATGGCAGTGACTTCAGAAACATTCTCCCTTCCATATAATTTTGTCTTGATACATTGATTCCTGTGATGTGTCTGAATCAGACTGTCAACATAGAATGTCTTTCTCACCAGTTCTGTTCCTTTTTTCCCTTTGAAATAGTGCTGGCCATTTAACTGATTTTTTTCTTGACTAAATGAAACATATAAAGATGATTCAAGCAGACTGACTTATTCATTCTCTTGAAATGTGCACATAGCAGATGAAACCGAATCACCTATAAAACATTTCCTTATTTCTTTGCAGTTGGTAGCAAAAATACTCTCACTGAACAAACATTTCCTGGATATGAGCACCTCTGTGCCACCTCGGTCATTAAGCTTGTGGCATTTAGGAGTCTTTTCATTAAAGACAGCCTGTTAACTATGAACTCAGGCTCAGCCTGACCTTGCCACCTGTCATTCAACTCTTCTCTGTGACCTATCTGTTTCTAGTTTTCTCATTAAAATACCTTGCATTGGTCACATCATTCCCCCCAAATCTAGCAATCTGGTGGGTTCTCTAGGTATGTATGGAATAGCATCTGTGCCTGCCAACAGTTCTACCAGCAGCAAAAGCACAGTGTGGTAGTCAAGGTCTGATTCCTCAGGAAGATTCACAGCAGGTGTAATGGGACATTTTTTTTTTAAGGGGGAAGAGTTTATAAACTTTGACACAATTAACTTTGCTTTAGGGACTGATTTTTCTTTGAAATCACAATGATATATTACTGTGTTGAAAGCACCTTCTAGTGAGATACTCAGTTATATCATTTTGTTTCTAATTATAGTCATGAGGTAAACATTACTTTCATTTTTTTTTTCAGGTGACATATGTGTTCAAAGAGAACAAAATGTTAGCTAAATGTACAGATGGAATCAAGGTCTCCTCAGTATTTCTAATTTTTAAAATATATGATGCTTGTTTGAGCTGTTTCTAATTGCATTTCTAGGGAAAGGATTTTATTCAAAAGGCACAGTACTTCAGCAAACATTTATTTGTACCTGCTCAGACCCACTGTTTCTTCCTCTGGCAGCTCTTTTGAAAACCCTCTATATCCCATCTACTGGGACTGCCTATCAATCACGCTGCCCCCTTCTCACGGCAGGGGGAGACTGGCTTCTCAACAAGCTCTAGTCTTCTGAGCCAGTGCTCAGTTCGGGTGAACATCTGACTACAGCAAGGACACCCATATAGATGCTGGCAGAGAACCACTCATGTTCAGAGATTCCAAAAATACAGATGATACTCCCTTGGAGTTTCTGAGGACGCATCTCTGCTCCTGTGTGGGGAGAGCCAGCCTGAGGGTGAAGCTGATGCTGTGGGCCAAAGAGCTCAGACTTGGAGGCTTCCACTAAACATTTAGCTATCAGTATCCCACCATGTTTTAAGTTTACAGGAGCCAGTAAAATTGTTTCTTTTCTTCTTCCTTTTTGGTGAGCAGTTTCATAATGATTCCTTTACTTCTTGCAAATCAGAAGCAAACAATATCCAGGAAAAAAAAATACTTATGGACTTGTGAGTTCATACATAAGGTCAAGTGCATAAGAGCAACTTTGCATAAAAAACTGAGAGAGGATGAGCGCCTGAAGGGTTGTGTGGCTGTAGACTACATTAAATATTCAAATAAGTGGGACAAAATGGTTTCTTTGTGTTTTTCAACAATTACTTGTAAATATCTCACTCAGCACCTCGGAACACACTCATCAGCTGAGATTTCTGGGGTGGCATACTGTTTTACTCTTTCTCCTACTATCCATTTCTGAAGCAGAATAAGTAGCAGGAACTCAAGATGAAAATAACGCATCTCAGTGATGAGTTAGCATATAAAACCATAAAAGATTTCAATACACTTAAGTATATAAAAGGTATTTGTAATTCTGGAAAATGGCTTAGAGGCCATATTGAGGATGATAAACCATAAAAATTGCCACTGCTACATCTAAGAGGACTTGCAAGAATGGCATCCTGGGGAATATTCTTAGCCCCTCTAAATTTATATTCTTTCCATTAACTTTAAAGGCTGCTCAGTATCCAAGTGGGCTCCCTAGTAAGGGGATCAGGGACTGGCTCTGCCATGAACTCAGTGGCTGGTTCTTTGATCACCTCCTGCTGGTGGAGCAGCCTTGCCAGGCCACACAGGAAGATGATGCAGCCAGTCCTGGTGAGACCTGATAGGCTAGGGTCAGATAGAAGGGGAGGAGGTCCTCCTCATCAGAGCACTGGGAAAAGGGAATAGGGGGAGAAGAGGAAAGGTGGGTGGGACTAGAAGGAGACAAGGGAGGGGGCTACAGTGAGGATACGAAGTGAATAAATTGTAATAAATAGATAAATAAAAAGGTAGGACTATAAGAACTGAGAGTGCCCAATAGGCAGTGCTCATAAACACATGTGTGAGGACCTTAGGGGTTCCCTAGAACCCAGAAAAAGTGATGAGGTACCATGTATGCAGCTCCTGCTGCAAGATAAGAGGTGGAGGTAGGGGAATATTCAAAAGGAGGTGGCCAGATACACACTGGTGAACAACAGACTCTACCTCAAAGAAGACAGGGGATTAGGACCAATTTGAAGGCTGACTTCCAGCCTCTGCACGAGCACCATGCATGTGCCCATTCCACCACAGAAGAAAATGTAGGATCATCATAATAAAGTTAGAGCAACAAGATTCTAATAAGAATTTCTGATGCCATTTCAAATACTGGGTTTGTAAGCAGTCACAGTACATCGTCTTGCATATTATCCATTACATGACAAGCAGTCGTCTGGATCCTGAGAACTTCTGTTGATTTG